GGGTCTATGATATTCCAAATTAGAGCACGGAAATAGGAAGAAATGCAGATAGGTTTTTCTTTGTTTCAGTAAGGGTTTTACGGCACTTGCCACACAATAAGGTCATATAAGTGCAGAAGATTAAAGGTGTTGCAATAAAGGAACAAACACTAAAAAAGAGGAGAGATAAGCGCAACAGATGTTTGATAGGAAAGAAAGAGTAAACCACACAAGAGCACCAGCTAATTATCCACGGTTTTTCTTTGTCTTTATATTTTAACTTTCACCATGCAATTTAAAACTACGTTTCCGCGTAATTCTCTGGTGTTTGTGGAAAGGCAACCCGACAATCTATGCTTTTAAAAGCGCTTGTTTCGCGTCAAACTGATCGATAAAGCATTACCCTGAGGTAGAATTCATTTGTGAGACGTGCTAACAAAATGAGTTACTTCTCACAATCCACAAAAGGAGATATTGGCTACAAATCGACACTATGGTCAAATTTGTAGATTTTCCATTGAAGTCATATTTCAAAAGAATAACACACCTTATATTATTTCATACGTATAAATTTTAAAACTTCACCTAGAAGCGTGAAGTATTTATTTCCTTAGGGCTCAAATCCGAGAAGTAACTCATTTTGTCAGCACGCTTCACATTTATCTTTGACTTCCGGGTAAAACTAAAGGCTTGTTAGCATGTATTTTTTGCATTCGGCCCGTACCATAGTACGATAATAACTTCGCATCGGACGGTGGTACCGTCCAGCCATGGTTACGGACCTCAACAACTGGAGGCTGCCACCGTCCAGACATGGTTAAAGAGGACATACAACGATACTTCCTTTGTAATAATGTCATATCTACAGCGCTTATGCTCTACGCAGACCCTATAACTTTCAGAAACACTCTCGGCTTCCATGGAAGAATACAGTGCAACAGCCATTTAAATGCCAGGGCACCAACAAACTGACAAGATCTTTCGTTTTCTATACAATACAAAACTGATTAGAATTAGATGATTCCAGGACGTCACAAAAATGTCCTATGACACAACGTAAGTGAGGCACGCCAAGAATAACTTCAGGATATGGCGTCTGCCATCTCTGGATGATATTGTGTAGAGAGAGAGAGAGAGAGAGAGAGAGAGAGAGAGAGAGAGAGA